AAACATAAGTGTTTATCTTTGAATGAGCATTGCGCAGTCATGCATTGCGTCATGATTTCTGCAAGAATTAACACATTTACAAATGACTTATCATCCATTTATCAGTTTCGTCATTGCGTCGTTATCTGCTCATAATTTCATATTTATCCTAAATCGTGCAAATAATGCAATTAATGATATTTTTTTCTAAATTATTGATACATTCTAAGACTCAGTTTCACAACTCACAGTTAACTCTTAACCGAGGTTCAACTTGTTTCTCTTTCCAATTTTAAAATTGGAAAGAAACAATGAATAAGTTGAATCGGTTAAAAGTTAACTGTGAGTTGTGAAACTGACTGGGCCTAAGCGCCAATTCCACATTGATAGTTTATCCATATTTTCATAAACTTGTTAACATGTGATTTTACTTTCGTGGGAATATACAAACCTTGGTGACGGAATCGTTGACATTAATCGCCGGCACTTTGAGTGTACCTTCCTTCACCATGCGATAGAGATTGTGTACACCAGTAGTGGTCTCCTCGGACAAGCCGCGACATTCCTTGAGATATTGTGGATACTTTGTGTGTACGAGATTGGTCAGATCGCCGCCATCATCGAGGATTAAGTTAAACGGTTTGTCATCCCGGAACACGAGAGTTTGCTCAATGCACCAGATATACTCTTCCTCGGTTTCTCCCTTCCATGCATATACCGGCACTCCAGTCTTCGCTATCGCCGCTGCTGCATGGTCTTGTGTGCTAAATATATTACAAGATGACCATTGTATCTGCAATACAAAAATGAATTAATATTCGATTCAAATATTATAGGATTTCTAAATGAAATTAGGCATTTTTATATTCGAATTTTTAAGATTGATAAGATTCTTTCCATTTTAATGTGCATGTTATACACATTAAATTCGTGGAAGTTTAAAAAAAATCGCTGTTCTTTTCGACAGCAAAAATAATTTACATGATCCTAATTTTTTAAATAAATAATTTTTACGATTAGAACTAGATATTAATTCAGAAAAAATACTTTCGATATAAAAAATTAATTCACAAAATATATAGATCCTTATCAAAGGTTTCTGTATGTTTAAGTTCAATGAGAAATTCTTTGAAATGGAAAGAAGAGGTCTTTTCTTATATTTATTCACGAATATTACAATGAGAGTTTACTATAATTAGAATAGCACGTATGTCAAGAAAAAAATGTTTTCGACTGAATGTGATATATTCAAATTTACAGAAGATTTGAAAAGATAAACAATAATATCATTCATGTATACATTATGGATTTATCTTTGCATTTTTCTTGTCAATGAATAAATAACTGCGTAAAATTCCATTGGCATTTTTGTTATTCATAACTAAGATCGGTATTCATAGTCTGTTCGTATTTCAAGACTTAAAACATCTGAAGATGCTAATATGGTTTATAATTTAACTGATTAAACAAATAGACTAAATTTTTTTACATGTAATGACCTTAAAATCGTGATCAGTCTAGAGACTGAGATTGAGAATAGATTGAAATTTAACCAATCAAACCACGCAAAGTTTATTAAACTTAAGATTGGTTTTCTTTCTTCTGACTGATTAAATTCCAATCCAATCTCAATCTTAATTTTTAGTCTGATCACAGCTTGAGAATTGCTAATGCTTACTTCTGCGCCAAGTTCCACCAGCGTCTCAATTAGCACCGCAGTTTGCACGGTCATGTGAAGACAACCGGCGATCCGAGCACCCTTCAACACCTTGGATGGTCCATATTTCTTTCTAATCGACATAAGCCCCGGCATCTCATTCTCCGCCAGGGTGATCTCTTTACGACCCCATTCCGCCAGGGAGAGATCGGCTGTCAAGGAATTTATTCCAATTAAGTCAGAAAAATCATGATCGTCAAAACTAAGAAGCTTCATATAATTATATATATCTAAAAATGTAAATATGTATAATTTATGAATTTGATTTTATATACAGGGTGTATCTAAAATAACGTACACTAATCATACAGTGCTATTCCTAATAAAAAACTGAGTCGAAAAGTCCCCTACCATTTTACAATTTTCGCAATAGTTAACAAGATATTAATTACTAAAAATCGCTGAATATTGGTTTTCAATAATTTTTTATTCAAATACTATCAACTTTACAGGAAAACTGCAACAGACGAAAATCATTTATTAGGAATAGCACTGTATGATTAGTGTACGTTATTTTAGATACACTATATATAAATTATATATAATACCAAATATAATAAAGTACAATATATATACAGGGTGTCTCTAAATTCCCGCATACGGAGTACAAGACGTGATACTTTATGCTAAAACAAATAACTTTTTCCTTTAACAAAATTGCACTCGATAAATAATTTTTGCGTTTATTTGTTAAAATTCAACCTGTAAAAACTATTTAGTGGACACAATTTTCCACAAAGGAAAAAGTTGTTTTTTGTGCTAAAACGAACAATTTTTTTCTGTAGTAAAATTACATTTGATAAATAATTTTTGCGGTTACTTATATAACTTCAATCTGCTCTCCCCTGCAAAAACTACTTGTTTGCTACAGGAAAGTTGTTTGTTTATATTATATATAAAAATATACTAATACATATTTTGTGTTAAATATAATAAACTTATATATTTTTTCCAGTTACTTGATTATCAAAAAGTAAAGGTAAGAAATATCAAAAAGAAAAATGCATTGTTACAAAAAATACGTATTGCAAAATATACATTATGAAAGTTTACATCATCGCTATAAAAATTTTAATAACATTGGGTGTAATTCCGATTTCTCATTTGTTAATACTACCGTACCAACGTTCTAAAAATATTTTTATATTCCATTATACGTCACTGGCTGCGGTCCACTTGACCCTACAAACGCTTCGAAGTATTCTTTGATTAGTCAGTTCGTAAAATTCTTTGTTCTGATTGGTCGCTCAAACGCTTCGAAGCGTTTGTAGCGTCAAGTGAACCGCAGCCACTATCATTAACATTTTAACGAGGAACGTCGTTTGTAATTTCGATTAGTAAACCGAAGATTATCCGAAGACTAAAAGTATATTAAATTTAAAGTTTTAACATTTTTAACAGCCATGTAATTCATAACATTATAATCATCCTTGACTCGCTTGCGTAACTAATAATTTAATATCCAACGCGATATTAAAATAATTTCGCGCGCTCGCTCGTGCCATTACCGATTGCGATCGGAGCGGCGAGTACTTCACGTTGCTGCATAACGGGTGCGAGCACGTGCGCTCCGCGTTCGCTTTATTTCGAAATACGCCGTAATTCATTCGTTCGTGACGTTTGGCACTTACCGACTTTATACGGGGGCTTGTCGGACATGGTGTTTCAATGTGTGGTGTTCGAATCGGTGCGTGGAAGGCGAATGAAAGTGCAAAATGCAAACGTTCGATCTGATAACCTAAACGATATGCCGGTACCACCACCGCGAAGCGCGAGAACGGAAAACGTTGCGTCAAAGCGACCGAAGGCGTCCGAAGGTGGCCGAAGGCGAAATGCGAGATCGTTTTGGATCACGTGATTCTTCGAGATTCGATTATCGCTGACGCGTATCACGTGACTGCGCACTGCACTCGAATACGTCACCGTTCAGTTCTTATCGCGCGCGTCGTTTGTGAAAATGCGGGAATTTGCCGGGTCCGGAAATGAGGAGAAAATTGTCGTCGAGAGGTACATTTATACATTTATTATTGTTGCTCGACGAACGACGTCGACGTTAGTATTAGCGCTGGATATGATTCGCCATTCTTCGTTTCGCATTCGCGATTTCATCGCGATTATGTTCGCGGCGATCACTTTGGACGAGACTTTCGGATCGATCAGCCATGTTCGAATCGAAACGGGAAATTGAAAATAACTGATTATTCTGATTTTATTTAGTCGTCACATAGAATAGATAAGTAATGATTATATGAAATATTTTGGGCATCATTGACCATTTGTTTTATCGGATAATTTATTGGAATAAATTATGATAAATAGGCAGTCTAGGAAATCGCGAATGCGCGTAATGATGAAATGGCTCATCACAATCGGCCTGAACGATTGGCTATGTTCAGAAAAAGCAGCTCTGTAACTGTTGTAAAATTCTTTAATATGATTGCAAGGCTCGTCCTAAAACTCTTCACTGGATCTAAATTTATAAATCAATAAATCAATCATATATTAAAAAATTTTACAATAGTTGCAAAGTTGCTTTTTTTGGTGAACGTTTTAATTATTTAATATTTGTTATTAATATAATTTAATGTAATTAGATTTGGCATTATATTATATAATAATTATTATTATACAATAATAATTATTATATAAATAATTGATATGTTAATTATATAAGTCATCAACGACGCATTTATTCGCTAGATTAAACAATCTGATTTATCGACCCAATGTAATTTAAATAGGATCGATAAGTCAGGCTGAACCTCGAAAATGCGTCGATACTACATATTATTATCATGAGATGGCGCGAGTTGGTAGAATTACGGATTATAAAGAGTGTACCAAAAATATTGGATATTTCTCAAACTATAGATTATCGCAATATTCAGTAGTTTTATTCCAAAAAAACCTAAATGTCTTTAAAATTCGTTAAATCAAGTTTTACTGAATCACTTTGAGTTAAATTAATATGACTTTGTTTTCGATAACATTATAAATTAAGAAAAAATTAGTTATTTTATTTATATTATAATTATCTATACTAAAACTTGTGAAGACATTGCTTAATACAATTTACAATTATAATTTATAATTACAATTTAAATTAATAATATGAAATTAAAATAGGAAGGGACATTAATAGAGATTTCTTTAAATAAATAATAACTATTAATAACAAATTTTAAATATATAAATATATATAACAATGACGATAATTAATTAAAAAAAAGACCCTTTTTTTTTAGAACCAAGACATAAAATTATATCTTAATGAAGGTATACGGTCAAATACTGATCTCTCTGTTTCAATGCGTAACCTTTAATCTCTCAAATCGAACGAATCTTCAAACTTGGATTCGCTCTTTCGTATTTTTTTAAGCAACTCCTTTGCCTCGTTTCTTTCTTGATCTAGCACAGGATCTTTATCGATTCTGTTCAATTTTGGAAGCATTGTCAGAATGATTCGTCTATATTCCTTCTCTTCTTTCTCTTCCTTCAAAAGAAGATTCCCCAGGACGATAAGCGTTTCCAGATTTGGTAGACAATCCAGCTTTCTCAACTCTGAAATCCTCGAAAGCTCGTTGTCGCGCAGATTCACATAGTTCAAGCTGCGACATTGCTCGGTGAAACCATCTAGATTCGCGAGTTTGTTACTTCGCAAGTGTAACATCATCAGGTTCACAAGGGCTCCGAGGTCTTCGATCTTTTCTATCTGATTCTCGGCCAGAAAGAGCCGCGTTAGACTGGGACAGCAAATTCCTTCGAGAAGTAAGGCATTCGAACATTATTCAGAGTCCAACGAGAAATGACTATCAATTATTAGACGTTAAATAAACATTGTATTGACTTTGAAATTATTTTATCAATGTCGATTTGATATCAATTTGATGAGTTATTTCTCACTGGGAGGAAAGTCGGAGTTCTTAGCCTCTAGGATCCTCCTTTATTGAGTTCTTAACCGTTTAAGATATTTGACGTTTCTATCCCAAACAAAAAGAACAATTTTACTGAAGTATCTAGCTAGATACAGATCTGCAAATAATTTTGTTGGACCATCAAAATAATTAGGAACACAAGCATGATGAGCAATGTTGTAAAAGATTCTAATATTCTAACAACCACAATAATTATTTTGAAGGTTCAACAAAATTATTTTCAGGTCTATATTTAGCTAAATTTTTAGACACTTCAACAAAATTGTCCTTTTTGTGCAGATTTTTACGATCTTTGGCAAATATGGTTATTCTCGAGAAATAGTCTCGTTTTTGCGCGTCTCACCTGCCGTACTGACGAGTGCGTTGCCGCGCAGTTCCAAAGTTCTCAAGTTCACAAGGATCTGAGGATCCACATTCACTGTACGAATATCGTTATGGTTCAACTCCAGGCGCTCAAGCGATTTATGATGGATGCCAGACGTGTCTGTCAGTTTATTCCAATTTAGAGCGAGCCCCTACATTTTTGAAACCATCTTATGTCCAATTATAAAATTAATGTAAATTTATATGAAAATATTTATTTAACAAAATATTTAGTCTCCAACCATTAAATAAAGCCTACGGCACACGATGCTTTTTTTCCTGCTGGATTGCTTGCGTTTTAGTAAATTACTCCAATTACATCAGAACGCAGAATTTCTATAGTATAATAATTTACTATAAAACGCAAGTAATCCGGCAAGAAAACATGTATCATGTGCCGTAGGCTTAAGAGAAACGTCTATTAAGGCCATGGCACACACCTTCCGTAACCATAAGACGTACCGTAAGAATCAGCCAATCACAGTAGAGAATTTTTTTGAACTATTAATTCTAATTGGCTGATTCTTACGGTACGTTTTATGGTTACTGTTACGGAATGTGTGTGCCATGGCCTTTACAGCCAAAGTCAGCTATTAGATGTTGAAATAATAAATCTATATGTATTTTAAATAAATTTATCTAGGTATAACTATGCATCGATTACTTTGAGCCTTGCAGTACAATAAAATTGAAACAATAATATTTCCCCCAAAGTAATTCTAATCTTAGTAAATATTATTTAATCTCTATTTAACTTACCTTTTATCCTTTTCTTATAGAAAAAAAACTATTTTTAAATTAACTATAATATAATATGCTCGTATATATAAAATCTTGCTTCAAAGATTTTAGTCTCGATTTGATTGAATTTATGTTGAGTGCAAATATTACATTGCACTCCAGACAGCACAGAATATTACCTACTAATATTTATGATAAATATTTATTAAAATTCATTTTTTTAAACGTTATATAAATATTTCGTATATATTTTATATAAAGTTTTATTCGAAATATTATTAAAATATACATTAAATATTTTATGTAATATTTATGATAAAATAAGAAAATATTTCTATATAAAAATATATTTACAAAATATTTAAAATAAATCTTATAAATATTTATAAATATTTTGTAAATATTTTATAAATATTGTGTGCTATCTAGGATTTAATTCAAGACTTGCTTAATCAAAAATCTTGCATTAATACAAATTCAATCAAATCAAGACTACAATCTTAGAAGCAAAATTACAATATTTTGCTTATATATGAGCATATTATATGGTTGATTTAAGAATAGTCTTTTTTCTGTATAGTTCTAACGATAAAAATATCAGAAAAAGATGAAGAGTATAAGTTGAACTAAGATTAAAATTAAATTACATTGATAGAAATGGATATTATTAGTATGTATTTGTTGTTACATGCGGGATTTCTCGATGAATTTAAATCCCATTGAACGAGAGTCAAAGGGTAATGGGGTCACCTGTAGATAGGGCATCGGCTTTAACTCCGTACTGGTCAGACGATTACGGTCCGCTCGCAGTGTCTGCAGATATGGTATCGTCTCGAGTGCACATAGTGCTTTTGATATCAATCTGTTTCCCGATACGTTCACATAACGAACGTGTTTGAAGGATGCTATCACGCTGATATCCGTAAGGCCTCTATCCGAGGCGTCCAGGTTGAGATAGGCGTACTCGTACCGCGTGATGCATTTTCCTAAATTGTGAAGGCACTCACCGGCCTCGGCGTGTGTCAACACGCGTGTATCATGCTCAGCCTCGTCCAATGAAATCGTTGATTCGTATTCAGGTTGATCCTCTTCACCGTAATCTTCCTCTTCAGCAAGCTTCTCTTCGGCTTCCTCCTCATCGTAGCTTTCGTCTTCCATTTGTTCTTAATCAAATTGAGGAATAAGAATGCACGCATAATAATGATTTTATATAATAATAACTCGAACAATGATGATATATTGGATTTATTAGAACTATCATTTGTAGCATTATAATAGAAATTTTACTCTTTAAATTCTTTGGAGTGGAATCTTATTTTGAAGAGTGAAAATTGAGTCAATCTTCAAAAAAAAAAAAAAAATAATTTTTGTTCCATTTTTAAGAGATTTTACTCTCAAAAGTTTTATAGAATAACATTTAATCATTAGTGTGTGTGTATATATGATATATAAAATAAAAAAAAAATATATATATAAATGAAGAATTCAATATTATGAAGATTATTGAACTAGCTGAATTATTCGTATTTATCCTAATTATCAAGTTTATATCGATATAGATTAGCTGTTATATTACGAGTAAAATTTTCCAATAGCTAGAAATATATCTGTAAATTTATAATATGCATATATAATGCAAGAAATGCTTACTTTACCGTTGAAAAATAATACAATATCATTTGCGAAACTCTAGCCTCTCTCCTTGATGTATTAATGGCGATATATCAAATAATCCATATAGTATATCGATTAGAATTTCAAAACAAAAGAGAGACAAATTGGTCTCAACGTTATTTTTAACAATGTCAGCTTTATAGTAAATGGCCATTAAAATATCTATTAAATCATTTAAACGAAATATATCAGTGCACGATACAAATTAAATATTATATTGCAAAATGTTTTAAAAAATATTGCATAATTTATCTTCAGAAGAATAAAAAGCAGGATTGGTAAAAACATGTTTTAAACGTGTTTTAAACAATTTAAAACATGCTAAATTGATGTTTTTAATATGTTTTAAATATGTTTTTTTATAGTATTATTTAAAGCATATTTAAAGTATTAAAAACATATTTAAGAAGAAACACCAGTATATTTTAATTTTTAAGAAAAAACCAGTTTTTTTCTTAAAAAAAAAACATTAATCTTTATCAAATCTGATAAAAAGATGTGTAAATTGTAATGAGACCTACATTAATAATTCAAATTCGCGGTTTAACGAATTATGATAATATACTTTGATCTTCGCGATTTCGAGACGTAAGAAAGAGCGAAAATGCAGTTTTGGAAATATTATGAAAGCATTTATTAGAAATCCACAGTGGCAGAGATACAGGGATGTATCAAGATAGAAAAAGGTTCGTTAGAGATTGATTGTTCATTAGAATTGTTACTCTTCATGTTGCACGAAAAATATACGTGCTTATATATGCAATGGCAAATGAGCATTCTGTCGAGATCTCCTTAACGAACCCTGACGCATCTAGATTCCTGCCATTGGACTCTTTGAGTATCCTCTGCGACCCGTCGTTTTCGATGCATGATCTCGCGGAGTTCAGCAGGATGAAATTCTCCCTGAGAATCCGCGCCTGCCGTTCACGTTCCAGTTGCAATCTCTTCGCGTTGAACGAGACATGAGGTCTGCCCTCCGGTGGATTCACATCTACCGTCGGTCTAGCTGTTTTTACCTGCAAAGCATAACACGAATACGAGTTGCAATCATAAATTCTCTGACAATATCACAGCATGGAAGTTAGAATCAAGAGAAAAAAAAGGTTTAACTGTCAGTAAATCTTGAAGATTCCCGTTAATACATGAGTAGTTCAAGTCAAACCGGGACTTTTTTATGTTCATGAGAATTAAAGTCCCGGTTTGACTTGAACCCTCCACGTATGTCTTTTAATTTCCTTTTAAATCAAAGGCATAAGCATGGACTGTGCCGTCAATATCTAACAAAGTATATCAATTGTGGTAAAAAAAAGAGAGAGAAAGAGAGTCAAATTCCTAAAAACAACCTCTCTTTCTAAGATATTGTGATTGTTGAATAAAAAAAGATAGAAGTTACTTGGTTGGATTTTTATACACGGATGGCGCAGTTCATATCCTATCTCAAAAAATACACAAAAGTCAACAAAAAATTAAAATGACTTTATTTTGATTCTTAACGTCAATAAACAGTCAAATTTTGTAATAAAAAATTATATTATCATTCTGGCCTTTATGACGTCAAAATAAAGTCATTTTGACTTTTCTTTGACTTGGTGTGTTCTTTGGAATGTCTTTGTTTTAACCTTTCTTTTAACCTTCACAGAAAAACTACTATAATGATACTAAAACAGTGTTATTTGCAAAGAAAACAATGAAATAATGAACTATAATAAATCTTTTAAAAAAAAAGCTCTCAATAAGAGATTTTAAAAATACATCTCCGCCCTTTAAATATTAATATACAGCGTAATTCCTTAAGAACTTTTAAACTTAACATAAAAATTACACGAATGTAATGCGTATAATTATATTTGACATACAAACGATTTTTATAAAGAGCTTTTGTAAATAATGTAATCTCGCGCGATTATATTATTTATTTTATCGCTTTTTATTCGAAAATTGCCTTTACGAAAATATCTTTAGCACTGAGATTTTCGTTAGATCCTCGGAGCTTTCGTCAAGAGAGATTCCGATGAAAGAAACATTGACCGATAAAATATTAAACAGAGTTGGATCAAGAGTAACGTTTATAATTCATGAGTGCTCACCCTAGAACGGTGACGCTCGTACGCCCTTCGTTGCCAGGAAAGCTCGTTCTCGCTTTGTATCCTTCCTCGATTCGACATCCTGCGTGCTTGATAGCTCGGGTGTTTGCAGTATATAGCGCGAGTATTCAAGTTTCTCTGGCAACGCGGAAACGTCCGCGATATTGATCTTCGTCGTTCCTCGACGCGCGAGAAACGTGCGGCTTTTATCGCGAGTATATTTATCGTTGCCTTAATTAATGGTGTCCAAAAAATTGAATGATTTTTTAATTTAAAATTTTATTTTTTAAAATGAGATTTTCGCATAGATAGAAACATAAATAATGTCCAGAAAATTGAAAAAGATTTTTGAATTCATAATTATAAAAAAAAATAATTATATAAAGTTTAAAGTGAGTAGATTTTATAGATAGAAATTTGAACGCAATTAATAATATTTGCACGGAAAAGGCAGTTTTGTTGAAGTATCTAAAAATTTAGCTAGATATATCTAAAAATAATTTTGTTGGACTATAAAAATAATTATGTTGGATACTCAAATTTATTGCTAAAATATCGAAACTTTTTACAGCATTGCTCATTATGTTTAAGATTCCTCCGTAATTATTTTGATGATCTTTGATGAAAATTATTTTCAGATCTGTATCTAATTAAATTTTTAGATGTTTCAGCATAATTATTCTTTTTATATGAATATCTCTAACTAATATCTACATACAAGGTGGAAGGAATTGTAAAATTTTTATAAAATTATAAAGTTAGCTTTTATTATAATTTAAAAATAGATAGATTAATAGATGATTAATAGATCAATATAGTGATCAAGGTTTGCAAGTGTATTTACTATTGTATATGTCTAGTTAAAATGTTTCTGTCCGTATATTATAGTTTATAAAATTTAAATGTGTGCTTAATCAAAATTTCGCAGTCAACGATGTATATACAAGATGCGACCACAAATTTAATTACGTATCCTTGAAATGTATATAAAGTTTCTGAAGAATAAATCTACATTTATTTTAGATTCCCTAAAACCTGCGCGAGTAGAATTGCAAATTACAGTTACGACAAGATTTGGGTGTTAGATACACACGTGCACGCATGTGTACTACGTACACATGTATACATCTCTGAAAGTAAAAAATGGAAGAGCTAATCTCTCGAAACGACGGACGTAGGAAAACGAATCTATGTCGAGCCATGTTCCCTTGCCCTTCTTGCCCGAGCGTACCTATATACGCAGCTAACAATATGTCATACGCACGCACGTGCGCGCGTGTGCGCCCGTGTGCATCGTGCGTGCACTTCCTCCCTTCGTGGATACAGAAGGATGCTGCGATTGGCGGAGGCTGCTGGACCAATAGTGCGCGGGAAGAGGCGGAGATTCGCTCATCTCGATCCGGAGACAAGCGTGAAATTTCTCTTTCGTCATGCTTAGATATTCATGCGAAGGTTGCTCGAAAGGAAACATGAGCGACGAGCTAGATATTAAATATTTATTTTATCATTTTATAACATAATTTTACAACTTCCGTTTTTAAGCAAATAATTACACGATTAAATATTAAGTTGATAACATTTGGAAAATCCTTATTTAAAAATTCTTATTTTCTTAGATACTTCTGCAAAATGCATTTCATGCGGAAAATAAGGATTTTAAAAAACAATTCATATATTTTATGGTACTTAAAAAAGAAAAAAGGGACAAACAATCTTTGCATGGATATATTCTGTTAAATTAAAAGGAAGAGAGCAAAAGTATTGGAAAACTACAAGCCGGGAAGTTCAAAAGAAACTTTCTCTTCTTTTAAGACCTTGAATTTTATTTCTTCTATTTTGTATTGCACATAACAGAAATATTTTGGTTCTATTCTTATGTACGTATACATAGGCAGTAAAATTGCAGCTTCTCGGAAACGTACCTGGGAATCAGAAAAAATGAGTCCGAGAAACCGATACAATAAAAGAACAAAATGAAGGAATACTAACTTTTTTGTGGTTATCTCCAGTTTTGCGGTCCGCCCCATATGTTACCTTCTTTTATTACTTCAAAATTTTTAAAATGAAAAAAACTTCGTAAAATGCACTCCGCTACAAAGAACAGTAATAAAAGTGTAACGACGGATTAATTCCGTTGTTTACCTTTTATCAATTTTTATGAAGATAAACTCACCCGTAAAAAATACGGTCACTAAATACGTATCAATAGTGGCTCATATTTTTTATAGGTGAGTATATATTTCATATTGAAATGACACACATACGAGGGTCATTTGACAAGTTTTGAGCCTAACATAGAAACAAGTATTTTTTCGGTCAAAAATTCAGTTTAATTTTTCAACATAGTCTCTTTTTAAGTCGATACACTTTTCCCAGCGATGCTCTCTTTAACCCATTCAAATAATAATTGGCGTCTTGCTCTGCAAAATAGGCTTCTACGGATGTAATCCACTGTTTTGACTGTTCCTTTGTCTCAGGAGTGAAGTAGTGAATCCAAGTTTCATCAACAGTTATTAATCGACGCAAAAAATCCGATTCGTTTCGCCTAAACCGCTCCAACAGAGCCTTGGAAATGGCTTGGAAATATTATATATTCGATTTTTTCCATTTTTACAAAATCATCAAATGGCACAAATGACTGTCAAACGACAACTGAGCGTCCATAATGGCTATAATTTTCACAGGTATCTTTCAAAGCATGTACGATTGTAGTACCAGAATGGTTTTGACGAGTAATACCATCTTCATGTTGAGGCTCAAAACTTTTCAAACGACTCTTGTACCTACTTTATTCAAAACTGTGTTAAAATGTCTAGACATCCATTCATTTGAACATATTAAACGTACAAGAGACGAATCCAGATAGCATATCTGATCCATTTAAATTCGAAAGATATTCACCTTCTTAAATTTTTTATGAATTAACGTAATTTGTTTGAAATGAACTTAAAGGAATTTAAAAATATACACAAATACATTTATATGTATACATACATATTTGTGTATGTTACTTTTAATAAAAATAATATTTAATTTGCATAAAAATCAAAATATGATTCATTTTCACACAAAACTAATGCATATTGCAAACTGGACGCGACGAGCGATACTCAATGAGAGCTGCTTTGCATCGTCACATGAGAAAAAGCAGAGCTTTCATTGGATGTACAAGAGGTATAAGAGAGAAATAGAAAAAGATTAGAGAAAGAATACCTTTTGAACCTGAAAAAGAGCTCAAGGTGAGCTTTTGGTAACGTAATAATGAAATGTTTTGAGAGACTTTCTCAGAAATACTTAAAACAAAAATACTTAAATAAGACGAAATAGGAATTTATTTCGTAAGTCGGGAAATCGAAAAAAAATTTGCCGACTATGTGCTATCTGGGAACGGAACAGTTGGATTAACCGGAGAATCGAAGCTGTAATATTGTCGGCGCTCAAGAGCATAAGAGGGGGAGACAAAAAGGGAGGAAAAAAGGATAAATGGGTATCCATGACCGGTAACGCCATGGATCGCGCACGCCGGAGGGTCATCGATCTTAATCGCGAGCGGATCCTCGACAATGATCCTCTCAAATGGATGAGCCCCGCCACTCGAGAGAGAGACGATGAAGATCTCTTCTCCCTCGAGGGGATACACGCGGTGTTATATTATCTAAGCAGGCATCCAGCGACCGAAATGGGCATCATCCCTCCACTCCGTCCAACGTATTTCCCGTATCCCTGTGAGGTACATTGTAGCATTACTCTGTCAGCCAATCCGGACACTCTTGCCGATCCCGCTGCAGTATATTGCTTTGTAAACCCAACAGTGTCCCTTGGTATTGTCAAGAGCGCAAAAAACATTTTTATGGTTTTGAGCAAATAACAAGAAGCTTGTCTCTATGTTTCTCTTTGCGAAAACTTTCAAGTGCCGGTAGTCCTTGAAATGTCATTTTCTATACGGCACAATCTGTGTAAATGTGAACAAATAACAATTTTGTCCTATTTGTATTAAACGAAATAGGTAAAGGCTCTGTTATTTGTTCACATTTACATAGATTGTGTGTCGTAGGAAATGATTTTTTGTTGGATTATAAACTGATTGCAAAAAATTTATTTAAGATTATTCAGTTTGTTATTAAAAAAATTGACAAAAACGAGCAATATACAGTCTTCTTAATCTTTAACACAGCTATAAAAACTACACCTAAAAACTACACTATTATTTATAGCAGTGGGTTTTAAAATATTGATCATCAATTTTTTAAAATGAATTTTTTCTAATTTTTTATTATTTTTGGAATATTAACCCCCGACTATAGTAAAAGATTATATTTGGACCCAAAATAAAAATTTTAAACTGTTGTACAATTTGTATTATTAGTACTATGAGGTTTTAAAATATTATATGAACTATAAAATCTTTTCTCTCTTTATCGGCGTAAGGCGGAGGTTCACTTGCATTTTAAACTTCAAACGGTTTAAAACTTATTATTAGGTATAGTTTTTATAGCTGTGTTAAAGATTAAGAAGATTGTATATAAATTGCTAGTTTTTATTAATTTTTTTTATGACGGACTGAATAAATATACAGAAGCTTTCAGCGATATTTATACAACATATAAAGAGTAAAAAAAATATTTTTTACTGACAAATACTTATATAAATATACGATATGTATAAACTCCGTTTTTTTTCGATGTCAATGTTTTGCAGTGATATTTCGACCGTTGGTGATCCGATCATGGCGAATTTTAACAAGAAATCTTCAGAAAGTTTGTCGTTTTATGGAATGCACCTTTACAAAATAGATTAAATAAAAATTAATAAAATAGCAACTATTTTGCAGCTTTTATTAGCAAAAAAAACTAAATTTTTTAGTTTATATAAATATAATATGTATATAATATATATTATATATATAATATTTATATAAGCATTTTAAATAAAAAATATAGTTTTTATTTTTCAAATGATGTATAAATATTGTTCTCAGAATTTTACTTCCATACATTTATTTAATTCGTCATAAAAAATTGTCAAAAATTTCGAGTAATCTGACCCTCCAGTCCTCTTAATTTGGATCACTCTAAAAAGAA